CGCAACAAGTAAATAGCGCGATGTAAACCTTACTCGTGCCGCTCTTTGTTTTAGCAAACAAAGGTCCTGCAAAATCTACGCCTGAGTTTTCAAATGGTGCTGCTCTATTGACGCGAAATTCTGGTAACGCCGCTTGCTGTGGCTTTGCACATGCCTTGCTATTCCATCGTTTACATATTAGACATGTATTTATTGCTCGTTTCACCTCTTGTCTGCCCTTCGCTATCCAATACTTTGACCTGAGCTGAGCTAACGTTGACCTAACTCCACTATGCATAACTGACTCGTGACACTGTCCTATGACTAACTCTGTGAACTTATGCTTTCTGGGCAGAACTATCGGCTCTCTTGCTTCGGTATCTAACTCAGAACTGCCTAATCTTCCTGTACAGTGAAGTACCTCGTCTTTTTCTACCAAACCATACTGTCTCTCCAACTGCTTATACCCTTGCTGATCTTTTAAAACTAGCTGCGTTGCCTTAACCCATACTAACTCTGCACTTTTCAATTCACTCGCTTCCAACGCTCCACTAACTCCCTCTTTGCCTAACTTTTTTCGCTTTAAATTGCTTATAAATCGCTTCACCCATGCTGTCACTCTCAGCAGCCTTTTGAGGCAACTGAACCTTTCTAAACTGATCAAATTGCAAATGCCAAACAATGAATCTGTATTGATCAACAAATTGACACTAAAAGATTTCTTCTGTTCCACTTTACTTTCTAAAGTTGGAACTGCTGTTACCAAACTCGGCCAGTCAGTAGGATTACCCTTCAGCCATGACGGCCCTGACCACCAAAGATCACTATTTTTAAGTTCTGTTATTAAAACCCCTCTCGACCCTAAATCTGCGGGATTTTCTATACCTGGGCAATGGCCCCAGTCTCTCTTCGAACTTATTCTCAAAATCTCGTCCACTCTGTGTTGAACGAACTGCTTCCAGCTACCTGTATTACTTATCCAACACAATACAGTCTTACTGTCAGTCCAGTATCTCACGCCTTCAAACTTGTATTCTACTTCTAGCGCTTGTCTAACTGCATCCATTAATTGCGCTAAAATCCTAGCTGCCATTAACTCTAGTCTGGGTATACTAAGCTCTTTAATCGGAGACACTCTAGTCTTGCTGGCTACTAACTTAACTTGTGCCTTGTCGTTCACTATGGTTACAAGATAAATAACCGCACAATATGCTCGTTTTGATGCATCACCAAACCCATGTAACCAATACTTTGCTCCGCTTGACTGCCCTAAACTATTGTCTGATACGCTCGCATATCTCTCAACTGTCACCCATTTTGCCTCACTAAAATCCTTCAACCATTTCTCCCATCTCTCTCTCAAGCTTTTGGTCAAAACATCGTCCCAATCTAGACTACTAATACATATATCCTGAAAAAGAATTTTAGCTTTAGCAACAGTCGGGCTCAAAAGTCCTAGGGGATCAAATATACAAGCTAGAAGACTCAAAACATTTCGCTTAGTAGGCTCTAAATTCTGCGCTTTTTCAGTCAAGTGGTCAAAGTCAAATCTAATTAAGTCGCGCACGCAATCCCATTGCAATCCAAGCACCTTGCCAAACTGGCCTCCGGCCTGGCACGCAAGCATTTCCTTCGCATATGTTTGCTCTTCAGCCTCTTCTACATGTTTGTCTAAATCATTGGCGCTTTCTTGTATTTGCGTCCTTAATTCACTATCATTAGTGCGCCATTTACGCAACTTAAAACCACCTTCGTTCATGCGCTCCCTAGCCTTTGTATATAACAAATACGCACTTTCTGTGTTAGCTTCGCCGGTAGCTAAGTCGTCGACATAAAAACTTCTCAATAATTTATCGGCAAAATCCTTATCATACACTGCGTACTTACTAATATGGTGCCTTAACGTTGCATTGAGCAAGAACGGTGACGAGTTCACACCAAACACGACCCTACAGAAACGATAAACGACAAGATTTAAGTTATTTCGCAGCACGTCATCTACCCATAAAAACCTTAGACTATCGCGATCCTTTTCGTGAACTTCAATATTCAAAAACGCTTTTTCGATGTCCGCTACGAGCGCTACCCTTTGTTCTCGAAATCTAAGCAAAATATCGAAAAGAAGTGGATTGAGCGAGGGTCCAGCATTCAAACAATCATTCAATGAAACACCAGACTTTTGCGACTTAGCACTGGCGTCATAAACAATTCTGACTTTCGTCGTTGTTGCGTCTTTACGCACAACAGCTTGATGTGGTATATAATGTACTTTTGACTTGGGATTAATTACTTTATTCGGGCTTACCTTTTCAATAACACCTGCTTCTTCTTGCGCTTTTATGATGGAGTCATACTCACCTAATAATACTGGATCCTTGTTCAGGCGCTTTATCTGTCCTTTCATACGCTTAAGACTCAATTCATAGTTAGTGGGCAAGGGATCCTGGCTTTCTCTCCAGGGTAGGCCAACTGAATAACGTGTACCACTAAACTTTAAATCACTAATCACTGATTCATGCACATCACTATTCTGATCTTTTATCCCTATGCTCTCTAAATCCCAAAATTTAGTAATATCTACCAAAGGGTTTCGCACTTCGCTAGAAACAAGAGTTACCTGAGCAGTAACTGGTTCATCTACATCAAACCCACCGATCGGCCCAGAAACCACCCAACCAAGAACAGTATCAATCGCAACAGGTTCGCCGGGCTTACCGCGTCTTACACAATCCCTTTGCAACAACCACAAATAATCTGCACCCACAAGAACATCAACTTCTAAGTCCTCACTCGACTTACAAACATCAGACAACCAAAGATCCTTCAAATGCGCATAATTTTCTCTCACAACCTCCAAATGTTGATTCCTAATCACCGATATTTCTGGCACAACGTAAGCCTCAACAGACACAACTTGGCTCCCAAACAAAGACTTCAATTCTAACCGCACAACACTTCTCAACTCAGAATCCAAAGCCCTTTGCCCAAACGTCCCAATGCTCAAGTTTTCCACACGCACAACCTCGCAACCAAGAGCTTTCGCAACCTTAACAGTAACAAACGTCCTCTGACTCCCCGAGTCCAACAACACTCTCACACGACCGCTTTTCTTGCCAACCAACATTGCTTGAGCCGTCTGCAACACAACTTTAGAACAAGACTTAGAAACTATACTATTTTTTGGACTTACAATTAACGTGGTGCTTACCTCCCTATCCCCTCCATCTGCCTCAGGTCCCTTGGGCTTACTTTTATGTACCTTACCCTGATCACACAAAGCAGTGTGATGCTCCCCTTTACAAGTATTACAATTAACTTTAACATTACAATTACGTGCCAAATGGCCTTTTCTCAAACAGTTAAAACAACGAGAGTACTTTACTAAAAGTTCCTTACGTTTCTCCTTACTGTTCACTCGATTGCAGTCTTCATGGCGATGCATACCCAAACAGAAAGCGCAGGCTTCTACTCTTGACTTTGTGTGTAAAGCTTGGGCCGACGACGGACTTCGTTTCCAGCTTGAGCGTTCGACAAACTCTCGACTACCCTTGCGCTCTGGCTCGCGATGTTCTTCCCGCAATTCAATCTCCCTTTTCAAAGGCTCTAGTAGATTCTCTACATCCCACTCATGGAAGTCCTTTTCCCTTGTGATGATTAACCGCACATACTCGGGTAAACAATCCAATATATGAGGCACAACAATCGACGAATACGTATTTTTCTCGATACCCAGCGCCTCTAAACCCCTGTAGTGTGTCTCAACACGATCACATAAACGTCGCAGTGACACCAGATCTTTCTCATCCTTAACACGCTCGGCTTTCATCAACTGCTGCATATGTGCACGTTGCACGGCTGACTTTTTCCCGTAACGTTCCTTTAAAATATCAACAGCCGACTTGTAATTCGCCGCAGTCAACGAAAATCCCGCGATACATGATTTTGCTGGCTCTTCTAAAAGCCCTCGAAGATAGTTAAATTTATCTACGTCAGATAAACCGTCATTCAAATGTACTGAACTCTCGAACGAGTCCCAAAACTCTTGCCATTTGCACACGTTCCCTTTAAATCTTTTAACTTCCAATTTCGGTAACTTGGCTCGAACTTTACTCGCAGTCATTACCGACTCATTCGACGTTGACCCAGCACTTGATTCCACAACGGAGGTAACATTATTCTCACACAATTTCTCGTCAAGCTTTTTCACAATCTTTCTAGCGTCCGCTCTCAATTTTCCCGCATCCTCGATCTCTTTCATAATGTCCTCTTCGGTCGAATCCTCGTCGCTCGCAATTAGCTCAACAATTTCATCATCGAGTTTCTGTATGTTTGTTACAGCGTCAACTATACCTTCCCTAAGCTGAGAAGCTTCAATTCGAAGTTCCTCGTTGAAGTTCTCTAACATCCCTGTAGCTTGAGCGAGTATCTTGGTTAAATAACCACGATGACCTCCTCGTATCTTTCTCGGTTTCGCTAAATCTGCCATAATTTCGCTTTATTATCAACAGTTTACTCGTACTATCCGGCTCGAAGGACCACTTGTCGCAGAATTCGCTGGCTTCGTTCAACGAATATTTCTGCACGGCTGGTTCAACACTCACTTTTCGTTTTACAAAGTTTATTTCACACAAATACTATACGTTAATTACAACAATCCGGTCTTTTACTTTACGACCTCTAACCATTCTAACTAAATTAGCGTTCGTCACAACATTTTATAACTTCGGTCCGGAAACCGTACCTACATATTTTCATCATGCAATACATACAATAATGTTATTAGCATACTTTGGCTTGAATTCAGCTTATCTATAACGAACTTACAATTATCTTTGACATACATGCGTCACACAACTAATTGAAATAAGAATAAGTGTTATTAGTATAATTTTGCAAGACACAGTTTCAACATATTTACAGCACATATATATTATAATAAAATTAAAGTTATAAATCCGACAGTGAGTGAATCGACATTAAACATCCCGCACAATTTAGAACCTTTTAACTGTTGGTCTCGTTATGCATGAGCCGTTAAAATGATATTCGTAAGTAACATCTATCGTAGTTAATTGACATAAATCAGCACACTCATGAATCTTTCAATGCAAATGCAACTTCCTTACAAACAATTCGTCATTTGGGGCCAGAACGAGCAAGAGATAGGAACTTTATACTACAGCAGTGCAACTAAACATTACAGTGGATTTTAATTTTAATTTTAATTCAAGGTCTTTGTATATCAGAGTATGTATGATATCAAAGTATGAGCACGCATTCCCAAATATATCAAATTTGAGTGAATTTCGTTGAAATTACTCGATTAATGTTAGGTGCCATAATTTCCCAGGGCCTTTTACTGTTCTTTCACACTATTTGTAATTACAACCCAATAAATCAAAATATATAATTTCTATTTATGAGCCATCCAGAATGCATAAAGTTTGTTAAGTTTAGGTTTTCTTCTGTAGTGACATGCCTGAGACAAATAAGGAATGGTGCTTAGGGACTTTTAAAAAGAAGAGTCTAGAACTGATATAGCTGCTATCCAGTCTAAATAAAGTTAGCTTAATTAGAGCTTCTTATATAGCAAGAAAGGACCATGCAATGCGCAATGGCCCTTACTGCGTCTCCAAGTGTAAAAGACAGAAGGAAAATTGGACACTCTGGCCAACAGGTTAACTCTTAATAAAGAAAAACCCGAATACATGATAATAGGGTCTAGACAGAGATTAGCCAAAATTAAAAACGAACAAGAATTAAAACTTGGGGAAACAAATATTAATAGGGTAAAATGTACAAAAAACCCTAGGTGTAATTGTCGATGAACAATTAACGTGGAAAAACCAGATCGAAAGCATAGTTAACAAGGCTTCAAAAGGTATCGGAATGATACGTCGTATTAAAAAATATGTTCCGGCTACAGTTTTAGAAAACGTCTATAAGGCTATAGTACTGCCTTATTTTGACTATTGCAGTTTAGTTTGGGAAAACTGTAGCGATAACTTACAGAAAATGCAAAATAGAGCAGCTAGAGTAATTACGGGGAAACCGTACGATACAAGAATAAGTGATATGCTGAATGAACTTGGTTGGCAACCATTAGCTGGACGAAGGAGATCTCAGAAAATAGTATTTATGCATAAAGTTAAAAATAAGCAATTCCCAGAAAGCATATCTAGCATGTTCCATATTAATAGAAACGACAACTACAACCTACGCAATAATAATGTCAATTATGCACTTCCAAAACCTAAAACAGATTTCATGAAAAAAAGCATAAGTTATTCAGCCGTAAGTCTATGGAATAGCCTCCCAAAAGCCGCTAAACTACATGACGTTTCTATTTGGTAATTAAAACAATTCTCTCGAGCTGATTATAATTACGAATAGACGAAATATGTGAACAGTAAATATGACACTGTATGACTATGATACAGTATATGACACTGTATGACTACATGGAGCCTGTAGCAACAGCTCTCGTTTGATACCAAGTTGCGACTTCAGATCACTCCTAGTCCTGAAGTCAGTGAAGAACACAAAACTGGAGTTTTGAAAAATTTGGGGATTATCGTCAATTATCTGCTGTGTAAAACGTTTTCACTAATAATATGCCAAATTGTTATTGCTTTGGTGTGTATTGTATTTGACTTTGATATCAAATATACTACTAAATCATAATTGATGATTTAGTAGTATATAATTGTGCCATCATCTACATCAGCCGGTGAGTTTGCAACAGCGGAAAACAAAATTACTTGCACTTGTGTAATTCGAGTCAAAGCATATTCCTACGGCATTACTGAACTTAATTTGCCTCTTAAAAGTACTTAACATTTCTACAAACATTTAACGCTTAAGTAGCTTGCTTACTTTTGCTTGAATATCTTATATTTCGATAAACAGTATAAACTGTACGGTCTAAATTAAATTTAGTTTGCACGGTCTAAATTTAGTTTGCACGAAAGTTGTAAACAACACCATATAAGGATAGACAATCCATATTTGGAAAAACGAACGTTACGGGGCAGATGTTTAAATTCATTAGTCATCCATGCAGGCTCTCAATTCAGCTTGAGAACCTGTTCGCAGGCTAACTTTACCCCTGAAGAATTCCAAGCTCAAAACCCTTTACCCCTGAAGAATTCCAGCGATCTTCGACAGGGGGGGGCGTACGGATACTAAATGGATTAGCCCGATGTAAGGCTATAACTAAGCCAAACATAAAACAATTTTCGCATCAATTTGTGTCTGGATAAAAAATAAGTAGTGAATTTAAATACAGATGTTTCCTTGTCAGTTGCTATGTGAAACAATGTTGTTTATAGCAATAAGAGTCATTGTTGATCAATAACAATGCTCATTTGCTAAAAATAGACAAGTATTGATTCAATTTCCAAACTATTATACTATGTGAATATATTGGCAATTAATCCAATTATTATATACAGGGTGTATAAAAAAAAGGAGACCTTTAGAAATCAACCATATTGTTAAAATTTGAATGCCTTTTCTATTGCACATATGCTGAACCGTAGTGCGTGAAATATTGATGGGTGCATATATTAAAAAAAGGAAACCTTTAGAAACTGAAATAACGTTTAAACAAAAGATTGTCTGTTCCTGGGAACAATCTGCCATGCATACTGTACGTAGATCGCATGTTACGCACTCGTGGGCTTAGCAAAGTGCTCCAGGATTCAAATTATAACAATGGTTGATTTCTAATGGTCTCTTTTTCTAATATAAGCACTCCAACAATATTTCACTCACCACGGTTCAGCATATGTGCAATTGAAAAGGCATTCAAATTTTAACAATATGCTTGATTTCTAAAGGTCTCCTCCTTTATACACTCTGTATACCAGTTTCAATAACTATTTCTATATCAAGCCTCCTGGGTATTATTGTTTCCTAAGCATCATTGAGGGGGTATTTGTTCTAAATATATGCATTTGTTCATATATATGTAAATATATGTTCTGGTTACCATTAAAATATGTCCATATTCAGAGTTACCGTTGTACTATATTGTATTAAAATGCTGCAGAAATGCAATATATTTTATGATTTTAAAAATTAATTGAATGGACTGCATGGTTAAAAGAGGAGGGGGGGCTTATTTATTTTTGTTTTTTGTATCCAAATGAGGGGGGGGGGTTATTGAAGAGGGGCTTGAAGAGAAGGAGACTAAATATAGAAATTACAGTTCCTCCTTTTCTTCCTCTCCCTTCCCAAACATGATGCAGGAGAATATGGATAAATAAGCTAGTAAATACATCCTTGCATATTCTTAGTTGCTGATTAAATTTTCAAAGATACACAGTGTGAAGCATGAAAAACAAATAGAAGATACCCACTGCAAGAAATTTTCAACAAAAACATATGGATTTGTTCACTTCATTTCCTACTTTCGACACAAGTAATTATAGTACGTAATTAAAATTACAAACACAATGCACTGTCATTTAAAGACTTGCTCCATGTATATATGTTAATGTAATATAATAAAAATAATAAAAGTTAAAATATGTGATATATAATACCGTAAACCTCTGACTAACTATAAGCCCTGGGCTTATATTCTTTTGTAAGCGTTTTTTATGGGCTTGGTGGGGGGGGGGGCTTATATCCATTGGGGCCTTATACATTTACAATCAATTGTGTTAGTAATAAACAAGTCAGTCATAAACAGGAAAATAAACATGTATTAATAGCGGATAGTATTGTATATACAGATTGTTTATATATTTTATAAATAAGATTTGATTTAATTTGAACATAGTAAGCTATAAAGACAATAACAGTGTTTCAAATATTGTTCTCTGCTATATTAAAATACGATGTCAATGTTAAATGACATGTAGAATTGCCTTGATCATTCATGCATGTAGAGATATGACTATCATGACAGAATTAGTTACGCCAAGTAACATGTCGTACACGTCAGGTAGCAGCTGAAATATTTTAATAATTATTTGCCATAATAATTAAGCCCATAACCTGTTGGCAAAACAACCAAAACATCTTCACCATTTTACAATGGCCGAGATACATTTGAATGTCTCGTCTTTTAACGAATATTCAAGCTCCCTTTTCCCTATAGAACAGCTTTCATAGCTCTTTCAGTATTTGCCATTGAATATAATTTAATAGTAGGACGATTTAAAGCACCGTTAAACGTATAAAAAAACATTTTGTACACTAAATTCTGATGAGAATCTTTGTTTAAAACAATATCGATTGTGAGCGTGTGCCCGCGCGAATTTAGTAAGCGGAATGAAGAAAAGCAATAAAAGCGCATCCGCCATTTATCTCATATTGGATAAAAAAGTTCGATTTCCCCACTACCTAACCCGCGAACAGGCATACTCTGGGAGCGAGATTGATTTTGACAAGAAAGACCGAGATACTCATAACCCCGCTCATCCCATAACTCTTTCATCACTTTGATATATCCTATTTGTTTTCTATTTTCGTTTA